ATTATATGATGGCCTTGGTAGATGTAACACTTTTTTTTACTGTAAAGGTAAAAATTCTTTTCTTAGAGAAGTGGCAARAGCTCAACATTGTCTTGAGAGGGTAATTTTAATGCTGTTACTACTCTGTGGGAAGGATTTTAATGTCTACAATGACCTATCTCATTTCCTACATTTCCTACAAGAAATTAACTTGAAGAATGGCATTTTCTTTCCATATGCCCCTTACAAAGAATGAGGAGGGGACTGGAGGCAGAGGCATGCTGAGTATCCGAAAGGCCGTGGCTTTGCTGCGGTTCCATTGTCCTGTCAGATCTCCTGTGGTAGCAGGGTTTCCCCACTGCTTTCTCCTTCCTGCTGTACGAACACTCAGCAGCGCAGAGGCACCCTGGAGAAGCAGACACGGTCGTGTGACACAGTGTCACATCTGACATGGGACAGACTGCTCTCTCTTGATGCCACAGTTCATCCTCTGTGGCAGAGAACTGACTCCCTTTCTGTGTGCTATTGGAAGGGTACATTCATTAATGTTTCTAAAGCATTCAGAGCTGTGGCAGTGGAGGCTGTGCAGTGTCAAGTGACTCTTTCTGTTCTCCAGTAACTGTAATTTGGTAGTAGATATGCTGTGATTCAGAAGGGAAAAGCAAGTCAGTAACAAATCCTTTAAGATTTATGATTTAATAATTTCATTGTTAATAGTTGGACTAATTCTGCTGTGCCTTCATTATGATTTTTTTTTCATTTGGTTCTTTTTTATAACCTGGGAGAAAGATTTAATTTTAGAAGTTTCAGTTGACAAAGACATGGTGGTGCTAGATACGTATTTCAGATCATTGTCATTGTACTCTATTTTTAAATTCAAGTGCCAGCCAACTGAAAGAGCACCCTGTGTCTGTGCTGGGTGTTCTGCATCCATGCTACMAAGCTGAATTCCTCCAAGCTTAAGCACAAGACCAGCCAGTTTTCTTTTATATTTTTCCTGTTTAATGAAGGGAAACGTTCTAGCACCTTTTCATTATCACAGAGCTAAAACTGGCCATGAAAACATCTCCCCTCCCTCCAGAGGCCTGCACAGGCATTGGCCATTGTTAAGATGCTTGCCYATCAACAGCCACTCGAGAAAGAATTTTAAATGGTTTCATGACGTCAAGGAGGCACAAGAAAACATAGTCTGGTGCCAAATTGCCTCCATCATTGAAAGCACACAGTAAGAAATAGATAACACAGAAATAAATCTTTTGTGCAGTAGCTATCTCATGATATGCTCTAGCGACKGCAGTAAGTGAGCTTGTCTGGTATAGGAATAGCTGAAGAAGATGGACTTTCAGAGCCTCATTTTCTAACTWGTGATTAATGAAAATCCAGCCTAATCTGTCTGACTTCCTGCTGTCTGGACACAATGTCTGCGGGGAGCTTGGACCTTGCAGAGGGAAATGCCCTGACMAAATTTCAGCCCACAAAAGTGAACAGTTTAAGTTCGGTGGACAAAAAACTGTATCTCTTGAATGAAAAGATGGACAGACTGTTGCATTTCCAAGAAGATCTGACAGGCAAACTGCAGCGAGTTGACAGAGGCATTGCTGATGTAGAAAATGGCATTAACAAGCTGACAGTATCCCGAGCAGCTCCTGATGACACAGATGCAATGCAGAAAGGCCTGAAGGTACCGGACAGTGCTGCCCAGGCTGATGTCCACAGCATATGCTCAGAAGTGTTGAATCTGATGAAAGCTGCCCAGCTAGATGCCTCCAAGCATAAGGAGAGGCTGGCAAAGATAGAAAAAAGGGTTGATACTCTGGATAAAGTTATTACATTTGTGGGCGAAGTAYTAAAAAATTCTAAAGTAGTGGATTTCATTCTCAAAGGCATTGTGCCCTGGAAGAAGGGGAGTCTGCTGGAAATCCCTGTTGAGGTTGGTTTAGTTTTATGTTCTTCATATTTCACTTTATGAGATAGGACTTTAGACTCTCCAGTCAGTCTCTTGCATGATGTTTAATTCTGGTTTTCCTTTCTGTATTGCTGGTACAGGTTACTGCTGGGACCTTTGAATTTCAAGGYTCTTAAGGCAGGGACCAAGTTCAAAACATGCCTTGCAGTCCAGGGTGTGAGGTTCCTCAAGTGTGCTGGGCAGTCCTGTGATGACTGTGAGGAGATTGCTACTGTAAAGGAAAATTCAGCACCTACCAGTGCTCAAAGCTCGGCAATGGCACCCAAATAAGTGACTGAGTGTGAAAACCATGAGTAACATACTAGAAGCTTTTTTTTTTGTTTGTTCACGAGTTCTGAACATAGCACCAGTTCCTGAAACCTGTGCTGACTTACTGTCATATTACTGGGCAGACATACATGTCCTTAGACATCTAAGTTGTCTTTAGCTACATTTTTATGGGGCAATTGTGACTTTATCAACTCCATTGACATTGTTTACTCCTGAAATCAAGGAGTTCTTGTGTCTTCAAGTTCCCAAGACATCAGTTCCTAAGCATTTCTTGATTATTRAGGACAGTGAGGGAGGAAGAGACAAGACCTGTATTTAGTTGATATGATGTTTTAAAATAGCTTAATCTTGTGTTTTAAAAGTTAGAGGCAACTGGAATTAGTTCTAGGTAATGGGAGTTTCCATTTTTCACTATGGTTTCTATCCTGCCATGGGGATGGAAGGGAGGAAAACTGCAGGAGCTGGGATATGTTTATTCATTCCAAGAATCTCCTTGTATGTAACGATGTGATTACAGTAAAGAGAATTTAGCTCAAGGGAAAATGTCCATTTGTATCTTAATCCAAATATTTTTCACCAAAACTGTAAAATGTTTTGATTGGAAGGTGCATCTAACCTTTTAGAAGAAGAGGGTAGTGCTTGAAGGCAGTGTACCTTGTCAGGCTTTCAAAGCTCTCTTGATCTCCCTTTTTAAGTGCCAAAGGCTGACAAGTGAGCTGGCTGTTAGGAGACAGAAGAATTTATAAAGTGCATCCATTACTGTTCAGAACAATAAATCATGCATTAGTTATCAACGTTGAATTTGGGTAGAGCTAAAGCTCTTAGTTGCAGTTCCAGCTTCAGTTCTATAGGTTTTTGGAGAAATGGGAACGTCTGATATGTTTTGGGTAAAGCTGTGTTGTTACAGACACTGCCTGCAGTCACTGTAAAATGCCTGGAGACAGATACTGTCCTCTGCTTGATTTTGTGGGTGGGCAGGTAGAGASTGAGAGGTGGAATGACCTGGACTAGGATGGGGTAGAGGTCTGTGTCCCAGGCTCTAACCTTGGCTGGAGAACAGAGAGGGTGCAGTGGGTGAGCAGTTTTATGGCAAACTCCACTTTTGCAATATGACCATCACTGTTCTCCTTTTTTGTTTCTGGTCATGAGCGCTTTTTGAAATTAGAACATAGGGTCRGTTTTAAGACCTTAAGCTAAGTCTGTGCTTTGATCACAGACTGCTGAGTGATATCTGAACAGGCTCGAATTAGTGAGGTTGTGTGTGTACGTGACCTGGCTGGGAAATGGGGAGCAAAGCACAGGTGAACTGAAGAACAAATTGCCTTGTGCTGAGCCATGTGCTGACTTGGCTCTGTTTTTTTTGCAGCCTATTGTGTGATAGCAGCACAAAGATGGCCAAAGAGCTCCACAGTTGCAAGGGGAGCACAGAAAAAGAACTTGCTGCCTGCTTGTTCCTGTTCTCCAGCCTTTGCTGTTTGTAACAGGGTGCTGCTTATCAYAGGCTGGCTGGGGCTGGGCTGGGAGGAGGTGGGGGCTGTATTTGCATTTCTGGGTGAAGCTTTGTTAACAGCATTCCAGGGATGCCGTGAGAATGCTTATGGAAGAAATTTTGTGGGGTTGGAGTCAACAAGAAACTATGAATTGAGCTCTCTAAGTTCCAAACCTCTAACTTCTTACTTAAAAACCAAACAGAGAAAAACACCCCGAYATTAAACTGTCACTTACCCAAGGCTTTCTTTGGATGTAGGATTGTGCAAGAATAATGTTCACCCTGGTCATTGTTGCAGGTTTGATTAGAGCTGTAATAAAAAGGGTAATGTTTTTTTACTACTTTTCCTCTTTGAGTGTTTTGGGAAGGGGGAGGTGGGGAGGCTCTGTGCAATCTCTAGGGTTGGTGCATGAAATCCTTCACTGCTTTTACTAACAGGTGAAGGGCTGATGTGCAGCTCTCTTGCTGTTATGTGCAGAAATACTTTACATGTTGCTTACTTGCTTGTACAAATCAGGATAGGATGCTGCTCATCACTAGATTTTTAACTATTAGCCAACCWCAGAAAATATCATTCCTTTTCCTTGTTTTGTGTATTGCTTTTTGCTAAATAGTATTCAGTTCTAATTTGATKTCACCTGTGTGATTTCACCATGCTGTATTAAGACTTTAGTGGTCCTATAACAAAATATTTCTCCTCTCAAATTAATTGGGGGAAAAACACTGCTTAAAAATCTTCTTTTTAATCTGTTTTTAATAATTCTAAAGGTGACCTGTGAAATGTCAAGTACATACACAAGGGTTGCCATAAAGCTCAAGGCTCTTTTTTGGTATCACCTCTATTGGGTCAAATAATTGATTTTGAGATACCTTGAGAAAAATATGTTTTGGCAAGTACGTTCAGAAACATTACTTTTCATTCTGTCACCAGCCAAAAAGCAACTGAAATACAGTATCATTTATTTTTCTACTCTCTCATGTTTCACACATCATGTTTTTTGATTAATGTGAGTAAAGATGACAGGAGGCAAAAACTATGGCAGTGAAAATTTGGGAAAGCAATGAGCTAATGTATTTAGCTGTGTCATGTTTTAGAAGGATGCCTGCCTGTAAAACTGGGAGAGATTGGAAAAAGGAAGTAAAAGGAAGTAAACACAGCAGTAATTAATGATTCAGAACTTCAGAGGTGTTACTGTCCAYTTTACAGAGTCTGAATGCCTACATAGTTGGAGGAACCTAGTGGAACATGGACACTCTGGGCTGTAACTTATTTCTGTGTTCCCCTGTCAATTTTAGGCCAAAGATAAGGCTGAGGAGAGTGGTGCAAAGCCTAAGCATGTGCTTAGTAACAGAGGAACCCAGACTGAAAGCAAGAAGGTGCTGGAAGGTATGTATCACTCCAGGCATGCTGCAAGCTTTGACTCTAGGATGTGCAGCAGACAAACTGGAAATTAATAGCCTGCTATTTCCCACTACCTGAATTACTCAAATGTAACTGAGTAACTTTGCCCCTCACTACAGGGAAAATAGAATTGTTCTCACCACCTTCACAAGATGATTTATCCCCAGGATCAAGCACCACAAAAAGCTAGGAGATAAAGAAAATAAAAGGAGCACATTTGTTTAGCTGAAGAGRCAGGGTTTTTTGAGTTGGGTTTCAGTGAGCTGAATTCAGGGAGCAGAGCATGTTTGGAGATACTGTGAAGATAGTGGCCATATCACATAGCAAACCTAATAAGTTCTTTTCCATTAATACATCTGAGGCGGCCCTCCCTCTTCCCCCTCTCTGAAAAAGGGATGTGTTGACACTGGGAATATCTTTTTTTTTGATCAGCAAGTTTCATTGGCRTGTCAGGGCCAGATTTCTATTTAGGGTGCATCTGTCAGGGCATTGCCCTGTTGCATCCATTATTAATGCCTGTGGGGTTGCAGCAGGGTGAATGTGATGTTGAGCAGGCCCTGTCATGCTGTTGTCTTCACAAATTGTCAGAGAATCCTTTGCCTTAGGGGCAATCCCCTTTTTAGCTTCATCACTTTGGAAGTGACAAACATAAAGGAAATKGTCACAATTCTGACTCCAAAGCTATATGGGATCGTAAATAAATCTTGGTTGCTGGTGACCGGGGCATGCTGAATGCTGACAGAAATTACTCTAGAAATTTCCACTGTTAATAATCACAGCCATTGTCATGAGAAGGCAATGAAGAAASTTTCAGTCCTTTTGTGGAAACTGCAGGTGGGCAATGTCTCAGTGTCCCTTGGAGTCTTGCTGGGTGTGTCTCTACCCCTCTAACTGGGTATATATATGGGTATATATGCTCTAACTGAATGTATATTGGGAACAGGAGGGTCCTGCAGGATCTGCTGTGCCTCAACTACCTGCCACCTTTGGTCACAGTGATTTCAGATTTTAGATACAATGAACTTGAGCCTTACAGCTGTTTTGTTTGGTTTAAGGAAACTAAATTAATTTTTGAATTCATTTCAAGAATTTAATTCATTTTAAGAATTCAATCTGTGGCACTGCTGGAAAGCCAGAGCAGTTAAATCTCTGGTTTTAAGCCATGAGCATTAACAGTATCTCAAGCCTGATGGTGTAWGGATATTAAACCTTTTGGGAGGTTTCTTGCTAACTTTTCAGGTGGAACTCTGTAGGTTATTTTGAGAGATGGGTTGCTTTATTCCTTCTCTGTTTTGCTGTCATTTCTGCCAAGGATAGTTTATTAATGGATTCTTTTATTCAGAGACAAAAAGTGTGAAAAAGCTGGATGAAAACAAGGGAACATGTGAGAAGGTGAACACATCTAGTGCTATTGCCCATAAAGCTGACTCCAAAGCCCAGCTTAAAGAGAGGACAGCACAGCAGCAAGGTGCACAGGCAGAAGGTGCTGGCAAAACCCAGAGCTCTAAGAGCTGTCAACAGCAAAAGGACGTCGGTGTCAAAGCTTTGAACCAACACAACGGTCTCCCCTTCGTACATCAAGATCACGCAGGCAACCAAAATGTTCCTGCTAAAGCACAGAACGTGGACAGAGCCCCACACCTTGATGAGTGTCCCAGGCAGCTTGTTCACCAGAAACCTGGGAAGAATGAAAACAAACCCCCAGCGCCGAGTGCGGCATCCCGGGAAGCTGTGCCCTCCACATCCCGGGCTATATCTGACACGGGGTGTGAAGTGACACATACCAGGTAACGGCCTTGTTGGTGGCTTTCTGTGGGGCCTGAAAGACCTTTGCATGTGTTAGAAAACCTTTGCATGTGTTAGAAAACCTTTGCATGTGTTAGAAGGAGAAAAAGGAAAGCCAGGCCATTAAAGGAGGCAGCTCCCCCATGATGGGATAGGAGTGGGGAGACTTTACAAGGATTAAGGCAAGAGACTCAAAGGGCCCTGTGTAAAGTTCTGTGTGGCTCAGGAATCAGATGGGAGGGAGGGGTTTGAGATATCAGCACTTCTGTGTACTGACATGGAAAGGTGACCACAGCAGAAGAGCTCAAGTAGTTATCAACCACTCACTCCTTCCCAGCTCCTTTGATTCTATYGCCAAGGGGTGAAAAAGAATTTGAGATATTTACTAGTATATGACAAACCCAAAGAACATGTGTTTGTTTTCCTCAGTGTTTTCAATGTCTTGGTTGCCTAAGGATTGTTCATTTACTCATCTCTGTTAGGCTAATATTTTCATCATGTTTCTTAGTCCATTTTCCTTTGGATTATTTATCTGGGATTTTATTTTAATCCCATTCATTTAAATTTTAAAAAACCCACACGGCAGAAAACAACAAAACACCACAACCAAAAGACCCCTACCAACTAAATCCCAACTGATGGAACTTCTGTGGCAGATTTTAATTGCCAATGCCTTCTCTGTCTGGATGGGTGGCTATCAAGTGATTTGTATGTGTGTGGGAGTGATAGACACATTCATCCATACATACTCCCAAATGTATGTTTGACTTTGAGTGGGGAATTGCTCCATTGTTCATGTGTACAAATTTGGTGTCTGGGCCCCAGATTTTGGGTTGGGAGGTAGGCAGAGGCTGGAGTAAACCCCAGGCGCAGCTGCAGCCCTCCTGCCCAGAGCACTGTCATGGTTTGGAGTGTGAAGTCACACGAGGGTGGTAAACTCCTCTCTAAAATGGATGCAACTTCTAATGAAGTTTGTAAGCCCACACAGAGGTGTCAAAGGAACATTGTGTTCCCCAGCTTGGAGAAATGCCGAGAGTCCCACTGAGTTCAGGCTTGTCTAGATAGCAGAGGAAGTGTTTGCTCAGAGCTGGGTCCAGCTGCTCTCATAGCTCACACCAGAGCAGCAGCAGGGTGTTAAAGGTGAAGAAAATGAGACATTTCAGACTCTTGTTTCACAAAAGCAGAAACATTTTCTTYTATAACATCTTTGTAATGAGGTTGCTCCACCGAAAGAGGCAATAACCTTTGTGAAAATGAGGTACATACTCTCCCAGATATCAGAAATTGTCTTCATTTGCTGCTGTATAAAATCTACTTTACAACTTCACAAGTTTCTGTTCAGCCTCAGTAAAATCAGACTGCTCATGAAGTTGGAGCAGTAACAGTTGACTCAAACATTATCACATGAATGTCTTTGATGGAGTTTAGGAGCAGGAGAATTGGTTCTAACCTGTATTTTTCAGGCAACGTAAGAGGGAAAAAAATCATTGAACTTTGCCAGTAGCTAAAATGCCAAGGAAAATAGTATTGATGGAGTGAGAGAATTTATCAAAGTTAGATTTTTTTAAGAGAAAGCTGTGGAAGAATGCTATTCCATCAGAAGACCCCAACACAGATGGCTGAGTGTGCAGGTCAGCCAGCTGGAAGGGGAAGGGGTGCATGCAAACCATTGGATTTGTAGAGCCATATGAACAGCCAGCCATTTAGATAATCAGCTGTAATTTGTGAAGGCAATCACTATCCTCTCTCTGCCCAGATGAGTGGTGTTTTATTAGACAACTGTCATAATTACAAAAAGTGGGTAAGCTTTCAAATGTGGGATTAACTCTTCACAGGGTGAGACATTTTGTTCAGCAGAAGGGCAGACATACAGAGAGCTGAGGACACAGAAAAACAATCACCATGTTTTTTGGTGCTCTCCCCGCAGTGTTTGTGAGTCTTTCCTAAGATTGCTACAGTTACATTTTATTAATACTGTAGAAATTAATGGGTTTGGAAAAATAGAGATTTTTCTTCCCCCACAAAGTTACAAAAACCAGGCTGATCACCTGCATCAAATGTCTCCYGTTTGCTCTGCAGGATATCCATCAGTGTGCATATGACTGATGTGAAAGAAAAGACAGAGATGACCAAGGAGGGAAGTGTAAGTGACAACAGAGGTAAAGGTCCTAAAGTGAAATCCACACCAGCAGACTTGAAAGGAGTCAAACAGCTGCCTGACAAATTAAAACTCCACCAGAGTCCTAAAAACAACAGCACCGAGCCAAATTCAGAAGTTAAAAGGGACAATAAGCAAAATGAACTTGTACCTCAAACAGGGAAGCAGCAACCATTCCTGAGCAAGCCCAAACCAGGCAAAAAGGCTGAAGAGAAATCAGAATTAAAATGCGAGCCCCAAACCTCACAGAATACCTCTGCAAAGGAGCCTGTGACAGATGCAGGGGTAGAAGTGAAGGTCCATCAAGAAACAGCAAAAGCAGAAAAATCCCCAACAGCTASCAACTCTGAGAGGAGAGAATCTGAGTCTGCATCTGCAGGGGGAAGCAGACGTGAGGCTCGGCAGTGTACAGGAGTTGCACCGGAGAAGATGAAGCCACTGGAAGCTGGCAGTGCTCTTCTCACTCAGGGGGAAATCATTGGTAAGATCCTCACAGCTACTTTTGAAGCTTGTGTGTGGAGGATTTTGTGCTATTCCTGCCTGTTGTATAGACAATAATAACTGGAGCAGTGCTCAGTRGAACACCTGTGTCTTACACTTCAAGAGCTTTTTGCCTTGGGTACCTTTGATGATGTAAATAACAACTTACATTGGTACAAATTCTTTTAATAGTAACTTGCCTTTTAAAGTGTGTTCTGAGCAAAAAAAAAATTAAAATAAAATAGGGTGAAATGTATGTGTGATTAGAAGTGTGAGAATTCTGAAAAAACCGCTTTTCTTGGGATGAAGCATTTGTTCCTTCAGATAGACAATGCAAACCAGGCACACGTTAGCAACTCTGGACTGGAGAGCCAGAGCACAGAAAAGTATTGCAGGAAATGTTTCTTACTGTGTCCTGTTGTGTTRTTGGCCATGGGTCTCTTGGTTCCTGAGGGAACACTCAATGCACTGGCTCAGGGAGTRCTCAGCACATATATGTGTGTGTTCCAGAATGCACAGACATGGGCCTGACCTGGGTCTGGTGTTCTGAGCAATGGCTGCAGGCGAGTGGAATACAGCCTGAGACACCTGGACATTAATTGTAAAATTGCTTTGAATGGGGGACATAAAAAATGGGTTTAATGAAGCTTTACCCTAGAAAACCTTGGACATCAGGCAATTTAGCTTGCCACAAAATGACTGAACTTAATAGTTGTAATGTTAATAATCACAGCTTTAATTTGGAAATTGTCTGCAAAATTCTCGCTGCTGAGAGGATCGTTGTGATTTCATCAGTCATTGTTCTCATTGTTCAGCACTGATTATTTGTGCAGCTTTCCAGCTGCCACAAAACAACTAAAAGATTATCAGGTGTAATTTTTTCTTGTCTCCTCTGCAGATGACAGCCCTTCTCCTCCAGCTCCTTTCGAGCACCGCATGGTCAGTGTCAAGCAAGCGGAGGTGACCACATGCTACTCCGTGTGTCGTCATGAGGTCCTGGGGGGGTAAGTGTCACTGTCCCTGTGCTGTTCTGCTGCTGGACAAATGCAGGGAGCAGCAGAGCTCCAGCTGTCCTCTGCAGCAGGCCCCAAGGTGTGTGCGAGGCACAGACAAGCTCCCTGCAGCCAGAGGGAGAGGGTTCATCCTGAAGCCTTTGGGCTGTCATAGCTGCTCTCACATCAAGGGTGTCCCTTAGATGGTTGTTTCTGCCCCAGTCTCATTTTCTGATGCTTCGCTGCCATCTTGGATGACTGTTTTCTCAGTTGGTGTTGTGAGAAAAACCTGTAYCCTTAAGGCAGACAGATTCAAAGGATTCAGTCAACAAAGCCCCTTGGGTCAGGCAGCTTCCAAAATCTTTTTTTTTTTTTTTTATGTGCTGAACTGCACATTAGAGAAAACTAAGGAAGAGTTATAATTATTTTGACCTTATGTTTGGTTTTCACTCACAGGAAGTCTGCAGCTGCTTCAGCTTTTGTATTCTGGTATCCTTACTTATGTGACAAGAAGGCTTGATTTACACATTGATCCACATACAAATATGGCTTAATAAGTATAAGCAATGTGATGCAATAGCAGGGAGGATGGTGTTTAGAAATCATCCCAAGGGGCATTAACGTATCTGCATGACATGGGGGAGAATTTACAGCATGCCAGCAATGCAGCCTGTGGAGTGGCTACAGTTACTGGCCTTATGGTCATTTAAAAAGTTATGAGATCAGGACAGAAATATCCTTGTTAATATACCCACTGCCACATCCCTGAAGGACAGCGAGGGGGTCCAGTTACAGAAGAGAGCCAGAGCATGGCCAGGCCATCATACCTCAGCAGGACCAACGGGGCTTAATATTTTAATGTAAGCACTGAACAACTGGCTGGAAAGATAAAACTAATCCTTCATAAGCTGAGAGAAAGAGGAGCTCCATGCTGCTGGCCACCCGACTCCGTTCACTTTGTCCTGGGTTATTTTTGCTCAGCGATAAGAATAGTGGTAGAGCTCGCTGTGCTGAGCTGWGCTGWGCTGWGCTGAGCTGTGCTGAGCTGTGCTGAGCTGTGCTGAGCTGCTTTCCCCTCTTTTCCTCCGCATCCACAGGGGGCGTTTTGGGCAAGTCCACAAGTGCACGGAAATATCAACGGGGCTCAACCTGGCGGCCAAAATCATAAAAGTGAAAGGAGCCAAAGAGAAGGTAACCACAGCTGCTGGGAGCTCTGACCCTGCCCTCCCTGCCACACCCCAACGCCACTGCCCTGAGTACTGTCAAATACTGCAAAACCTKGGGCTTGATGTGACTGTTCATCACCTCCTGTATTCATAATGAATCCTCCAACCCCCATGAGACCTGGGCTTTACAAATATATCTATTTTGGTATGGTGAAATTTAAACAGCATATTTTATTCATTTTTTTGTTATTTTGGGTTTTTTTTCAGGAGGAAGTAAAAAATGAAATTAACATCATGAACCAGTTAAATCAYGTGAATCTGATCCAGCTTTATGATGCTTTTGAAGCCAAAAATAATATCACTTTGATCATGGAATAGTAAGTTTMAATGATCTCAGGAATTGTCAGATGTTTGGGTTTTCTCAGGTCACTAAAGGAAATAGGGAATGATAATTCTGAGTTGTGAAGAAGTGAATAGTTTCCCAGGCTGAGAGAGAGTTGATCTCACTTGTAGAAGGAAAAATCAATGTTTTAATGGTAATTTCTTCAGGTTAAAAGCTTGTCAGAGCTCTATGTCTGMCTAATTTTCTCTTAGCCTCTGTGCGGAATTAAATTCAATTTTCAGCTCATGTAAAACAGCTTTCAGTTTGAGAAGTGTCATTTAGTAAATTTTGTAGGTTGAAGACTTATTTTCCCATGACTAATAAGATGAGCCAGTAACAGATACTTGAGTACTCCCTGGAGGTTCTTCAGGTCCCATAGGATCACCAGGTCACRTGGGTTTGGGTTTGACACGTGTCCCCCCAAATGTTAGTGACAACTTTTCCATTTTTGAATTTATATTGATACTTAATTTCAATAAGTGATTGMGGCTGCTGATACACTTTATATTGTTTTGTTAGGCGCCTCAATTACAGAGCYTAATTCCCAACTTGGAAATAAATTGAGCTAATGCAGAATTTTAGGGTTTTTAACGCTTTTCTGTGTCAAAATTTTAGTCTTGATGGTGGGGAATTATTTGACCGGATCACAGATGAAAACTACCACCTGACCGAGCTGGATGCCATCCTGTTCACCAAACAGATTTGTGAAGGAGTCCAYTACTTGCACCAGCATTATATTCTCCACTTAGATCTGAAGGTCAGTTGTTTGTGCTCTCTGTGCTTCAGTGGTGCTGGTTTAGGCACCACAGAGTCTCTAATTACTGAAGAGTAATTTCTCATTTCAGGGASTCATGTCAGAAAGGAATAGCCTTAATAGCTACAGAGAATGGAGCTCTAGAGGTTCATTAATTTTTGCTGGTGTCTCTTCAGTAGCTTGCTTGGAATGATCAGAATGATCAGGATTCTGGGCTTTTGCCTTTCTCAAATCAGCCACTTTTCATTCTGTGTAGCATCAAGCAATCCCCTTTTGTCATCAATGACAAAAAGCCCCACCCAAAMCCTCCTTGGCTAGAAATGCCCAATGTTCCCCCCATTCCCCTACCTCTTTGTAACAGTGTTTAAATACCTGTTCAGTCATCTTCTCTAGTTTGTACTTTTTATTGCCTGGAACCAACCTGCAGCAAAATTGCAATGGTTTCCTAATGATCCCTTAATAATTTATATTTTTAAACAAAAATACAAACTGATTTTTTCCTGCTTGTTTATACAGCACCTTACACAAATGATGTTAGACCAGCTTGGCTCATAGACAGTTCTGTAGTTGTAATAAGTTTGGTCCACATCACCCCTGCATCTCCATCTTGAAAAATATTCTAATTGGAAAAAAAAATTAATTTTGGGTGCATTTGATCTGGTTTTTGTGGCTTTTTGTGGAAGGACTTTTATACTTTTATACCCTTATCTTTTGCTAGATCTCTCTTGCAAATATTTAACTAAAAATACCCTTTTCTCTTTTTGTAGCCTGAAAACATACTATGTGTAAATCACACAGGAAACCAGATTAAAATTATTGACTTTGGATTAGCAAGGAGGTAAGAAAGTTCAGTTGTGAATTTCTTCTGAAAAACAAAACCAAATCAAACTCACAAACCTCTGACATGTTTCTGGTAGTTGTTTAGTGGGGGGTTGCTTTTGGTGGCTCTGTAATAATTCTATATGAGTGAGCTRAGCATTATGCTTTTGCAGGCATGAGTTTTCTGCTGTGTGCATTAATTATCTAATTACTTTTTCAAATAACATTTCTCTTGCATAAAGCTGTACTACTGCTCTAATTATCTCAAAATTATTCCCCCTGTAGAGCTTTTACTCTAGGGATTCTATGAAAGCTCCCAGAGCCTTCTTGACTGCAGGGTTTTATGGTGCAGGCTCTAATTGTAGAAATTATCTGCTAAACTCTTTAAGTAAGTTGATTGAAGGAAAAAAAAGGATAAAAACCAACCATGTTTTAGCCATCCCATGTGAAACAGAAGTCCTCAGAGAAATAGGAACTTTTCTTCATTCTTTTATGAATGCATGAGTTGTTAAAGAAATGCTGTGAGAGCATGAGTCAATTGCCCTAGAATAAAAACGAATTATTTCTGTTACTATGACAGTAAGAACAATAAGATTTCTCTATTTTCTAAGCCTTTTGAGGTTTTTCTTAAGTGAAATGCTGGTACATTTATGCATCTATACATTCATGTGTTTGTATATAAGTATCTGTTCAAGGACTTTCTTTCCATAAAATACTTCTGAAGGAAAAAAAAAATACACCTTGAGTTTGGTGTTTTGTCTGTTTGTTTTATAAATTGGGAGGGTAAAGATAYAAACTTCTGCTGAAGCAGTTTTGAAAATATCCTCCAGGAGAAAGAGCTTTAGAAGCAATACTTTAGTGGTTTGTTCTGCCTGAACACAGATGCTACTCCAGCTGCCTTCAGTGACAATTGTTCCTGGTTCAGTTTCATAACCTTTCCCTGTTAAACAATAGAACAGAGTCATTTCCCCTCTACATGGGATCACTGTTACTTGTTCCTGAGCCCAAATAATCCTCTTCASCCCCCCTTAGCAGTTGCATTGTGTTCCTGTCTGTGATACAGATCTTTACCCTGAGCTGTAGCTGGGTACATCCACTAAACAAATGCTTTCCAAATCTGRTATAATCAAAGCTGCTTTCTTTGTGTCATGTTTTATGGATTTATAGAAAGCATCCTGTGGTGCCTGGCAGAAAGTGAAGCTGCTGCCATTCTCTGGGGTAGCCCTTTGCAGGGTTTAGTGTTCYTGGTCTTCCTCCTGGCTTTGCTCTGCTCCCAAAAGCCTGGCCTTGTCCTTCTCTTGGTGAGATGAGCTCCCCAGCTCCTCACTCAGGGCTCTTTTCCCGGTACAGGTACAAACCCTGTGAGAAGCTGAAGGTGAATTTTGGGACTCCGGAGTTCCTGGCTCCCGAGGTGGTGAACTATGACTTCGTTTCCTTCCCCACAGACATGTGGAGCGTGGGTGTCATCACGTACATGCTGTGAGTAGCCCTGCCAGGGGTCATTGGGTGGCTCCAMGGGCCCTGCAGGGCAGGAATGCAGCAGCCACTGAGCCCATCTGTGACTCCTCCCAAGTAATTCTGTTAAAACCCCCCAGCTTTCAATGCAAAGGCACCTCGTGGCATGTACAAAGTCTCTAAAGAAGCAAATAATCCTTTTGAAAAATATGTAAATGTTCTTCTCCCTTATCATCTTATTTAGCAAAGTAAAATGGGTCAGGTCTTTTTTTTTTAACTCAGAAGAGCTGTCCAAAATATGTGGGAATTTTGATTTTGATTGTTTTTTGAAGACTTGAGTTAATTAAAAAAAAATTTAATGGGATAATTTCATGATCTTAGACTTGGTGTGCATCTGCCCAGGGAATTAATATTATCTGTGTTAGACCATGGGTCTAAGAAATGACATGAATAGAGCTAAAACTTTCTCTGATATCTGGATGGCAAACAAAGCTTGTCAGTCCAGAGTCGCTGCCTTCTGATGAGCTTGTTTTGCATCCCAGAATCTTTCACAAATGTTTTCTGTAAACTGGATAAATTTCTGGTTTAAGTTTGTATGTTAGCCAMGACCCAACTGAATGAAGTAATAAATGATGGAAGTAATAAATCTGGGCTTAGAGACTAATTGTAAATAGTAATCTATTGTTCAGAATTCTAYTTAATTCAAGCCACATACGGATGTGGGCCTCGATTTGGGAAAGCTCTTGAGTCCCCCTAGCTTTCCTAGSTGGGAAAGCACTGAAGGAAGTACCTAAATCCTCACTGAATCCATTCCTTGGGGATCTGTTAACGGTGATCCCTGATGTGAGTGAGCTGTTTAGAGGGTAACATTAAATTACAACACTTATTGCCCCAAACTGTTGTCTAATCATGGCAGGGACTGAGAAGTGGAGCCCTCCATAGCTGAGAGCCTTTTGCCTCCATAAAATAAAAACAATTATAARGCAGAGGATTTGTAGAAAGAACACACATATTGCATATAACTGCTGTTTTCCTCTTCCCTTCTTTCTTTTTTTAAGGCTTAGTGGCCTGTCCCCATTCCTGGGAGAGACTGATGCAGAGACAATGAATTATGTAGTCAATTGCAGCTGGGATTTTGATGCAGAAGCATTTGAACAGCTCTCGGAGGAAGCCAAAGACTTTATCTCCAGACTCCTTGTCAAGGAGAAAAGGTACCTGTGTGTCTGATTGTGAGGACAGTAGCACCAATGATGTTAAATTCCTACCAGTCAATTGTTTGGATTGCAGCCAGCRATGAGAATTTACTGTGTGACATTTTTGTGTGCTGGGCTTGCTGGGCAGTTCCTCAGGRATTCAGAAGCTCCTGTTTTGAAGGGAAGTGTCTGTGTACCCTGACTGAGGACAGTTGCTTTTCACAGTTKCATCAATACAGGCAGAACACAGGAAATCTGGAAGGATTTGCAGTTTAGGAATCTGTCTCTAAAGCTTTTGCTTCTCTGAGCAAAAACTATTTCTGTTGTTAGTCTGGACTCTCACAAGCCTTGACACAAATTGCAAAAATGCCTCTTGAATGCCATGGAGGATAAGTGGAAGCTGCAGCTGTGAAAATGTGCATTGTTCTCTTCTAACGTGGTCTGCAGGCTTCTGGGAGATACTAGGGAGTGTTTGGGACTTAACTCTGCATGTGGCTGCTCATTCCTGGCTCCACTGAGATAAAGAGTGATTGCACATATGAAACAAAGGAGAGAATGAGGATGATATTGATATCAGACCACGGCAGGGGAGTTGGTTGAGTAGAGAAATTTTTCTCTTGCTGAGTAGTGATACAAAACTAATCAAACCAGCAAATGATGCATGCAGTAAAGCAGATCATGTGTTTGTGGGGAATTCAAAGGAGTGCTTAGAATATTAACAACTTCCCAATCATTACCTAAATCAGACAAATCAGTTCTGGTACTAATTATATTTTGAACAATAGGTCCTATGTAAAGCAAAGAATAAACTGAAATTTAGCATATTGGCAGCAGGAGAGAATTAAGGATTTTTTCTCAGATTGTGACAATGATTTGCTGTGTGACTGTAAAATTTGCTTTGGAATGTTCAATTTTTCTGTGCATTGGGATTAAGGTCTCCAGAGGGACACTGTGAAGTCTGGTTAGACGCTGTGAATGAAATGAGTGTGTAAGGAGTGTTGTCAGTGAGTGCAGAGGGCAGTGATAGCTGGCCCAGTTGTTCACAGGGTGAGTGGCAGCCCCTGCTCTCCTGCAGCCCAGGCAGCTCTGCCCTGCTGGGACAGTGGGTCTGGACTYGTGCAACATCTGCAGCCCCTCCCCTGCCTGCTGAAATCGGGGTGAGCAGGAGGAGCTGCCCTTTCATCATCTCAGTGACAGCTCAGAGCTCAGGAGCTGGGCATAGGCCTTGGATTTGAAAAAAGGCAAATTAAACTGTTTTCTCAACCTCTAACTCCAGTACCATGTATTTCTCAAAGCTTTAGGATAAGCTGTGCCATTTGGGCCCATGGTTGGATGTCAGGATATAAGGGCTGCTTAGCTTGATCCAAGTTTAGGGTGAATTGACAACTGTGCTTTTTAAATATGAGGCTCAGAAAAAGCCCTCAGTGCTGTCAGGACAGACAGATAACACCACAAATGTTATTTTTCTGTTAGCAAAGTTCTGAATTTGTGTAATAAAATTATACCTTACCTCAKGAACTTAACCACAGCTCAACTAAGCCACTGCAGAGCCACCAGCAGCCCTTTATCCCACTCACTCCTCCTGCTGGAGAGTGCAGGGTGTCATTAGGATCCCGTGCCCTGGGACGAACAGCATTTTGATGTGTTCATTCATTTGAGGCACACCTTTATCACTGCTAAAGAGGAGCATGGGGCACTGAGCACATGTTCCGCAGGGTGTGGCTGGCTTTTCAKGGCACATCCCTCCCCTGCAGCTGCCGGATGAGCGCCACGCAGTGTCTGAAGCACGAGTGGCTCAGCAACCTCCCCGCCAAGGCCCAGAAGTTCAAGCTCCGCCTGAAGTCCCAGCTGCTGCTGCAAAGTTACATGGCCCACAGGAAATGGAAGGTAAATACACAAATKTGGGCATCAGCACAACACAGGCAGGGCCATTCCCTCCTCTTGTGTGTTGGTTCACTGGTGCCCACAGGCTTCTTGATTGTAAGTATCAGTTGTGAAGTCTATTTGTATTTGTAAATTAAGTGTTTTATCCTGAAGAAGGATATTGTTTCTATTTTTATTGAGTTTGGTTTCTATTTTCACTTTGTCTGATAGGTGTTCAGAAGTTTTTTATATCTTTTCTTCCCTACAAATGCAGTGGTCACGTTTTATTAAAATGTTTATTCTCTTTATACCTTTTCCATTGATGACAGTTACATAGATCTGTTGTCACTGTGGAGTAGGGATCCAGCCTAAGGCAATTTGTGCCTCCCACTGCAGAATAGAAGTGTGGGACAGAGAAAAAAAAATTAGGTTTAAACCCATCTAGAGCTCTTCAGGATCTTTCTGATAACCCCAGGCTCCTTCTGAACAAAGCCTTTATGGAGTGGTAGGTAATAATTTGTGTTTGAGTCTAGATACTTGATCCTGATAGGTGAACACAGTGATCTTGTTAGAAGGAAGCCTGTGGAATTGTGAGGCAAACTCGGTGAGGACCATTTTCTTTTCTTTTCCCCTGGAGAGCTGCAATTCCTTGCCRAGGAGTTAAACCAGAGGCTTATGCTTCTTTCTGTCCTGCACTGAAACTGCTCTGTGGCAAACTTCTGCACTTGCATTTTAAAGATGACATAAACTAAAGACCTATCACTGTAGAACTTCCCAGTCCCAGCTGCTCTGCAGGAACCACTGCACCCACATGAGCTGGGGATCACTAGAGGGAAATGGATTTACCAGGAAGAAAAATCCCTGTCAGCTGCACAAAAGTTCCTTTGCCTTGGTTGCGCTCACGCTTGGACTGTTGTGTTCTGTTCACAGAAACACTTCTATGTGGTGGCTGCTGCTAACAGGCTGAAGAGATTTCAGAGTATGACTGTCAAGCTTGCATGAGCTTGTGTGAAACCTCCACCACTCTTRGAGATGGACATGAAGCCATGGAAGGACTCAAATTCAGTAATTTCTACCCCTATTTTATAACATAAGGTTTTGGGACTGTGTTCCTGTATTATTTTGTGTGCTAGTGCTACGGTTCCTGAAGTGCCTAAAGGAAGAGGCACAAGATTTCTTACAGGCAGAAGCTACTTAGTTTGTTTTCGCAAATTTTTAGTTGTTCTATATAGTGGTGGAAAAACGTGGGTGTTACTGGGGCTGACTTCTTGCTGAAGGCTTTGATGCTGCAGAGTATTGTTGGTGTGTTTACTGCAGAAAACCCGTTAGTTTTCTGGTTTCTCACACCAAGCCTGGGATCTCCAAAGACTTTCTTCCTGACTGATGCATGTTACCAGCTTTAGAGAACTGYCACAACACTGGTACAACTTGTCCCTTGGGTGTTTGTTACTAAAATGAGACACCAGATATTC